TTACAGAGTAGAACTGCTCCAAAGGGTTTTCTTGGCTGTAATCTCTATGGAAGCAGATCACCAGGCCTTTCTTCCACGGTGCCACTGGGTGGGTTTGAACTGCCAACCTTTAAGTTAGTAGCCAAGAGTAAATTGTTTGTATTAAATGTATATTTAATATATAAATAAAAAATATTTATACAATATATTAAATTAGAAAAATAAAATGATTTAATATTAAAATATTGTTTTAATTATTACACTAAAACAACAGGTATAAAAAAGGACTTTCCACCAGGGCAAATCAGGCCTTATAGTCACCCTAATACCACATCATACCACATCAAATGTGAACAGCCACAATTTCAAGAGCTGTTTATAGTTCCAGATGGATTTAAATAATAATACCCAAATAAAGAATCTAAATTATATTCTGATCATATAAACCAAACAAATCTCTCACTAAATTTAAACATCTAATTACCTCATACCATACACAAAATCAATTTCAGGTACATTATAGACCTAAATGTGAAAAAGCAAAAAAAAAAAGCTTTGAAAAGATAATAAAAGTATCTCCATGACCTTGGGGTAAGGAAAAATTCCTTTAAAAAAAAAAAAAAAGACACTAGTTATAAAAGAAGACCGATAAACGCGTCCATATTAAAATTAAGAACTTCTGTTCATCTTTTCGAATGTTCATCCCATTAAATGGAAAAACATATTTACAATACATACATCCAATAAAGGATTCATAATCAAAATACATAGCTCTAGAAAAAGATATGCATTTCAATAGAAAAATGTGCAAAAGATTTCAAAGGTACTTCATGAAAGATGGAACGGCCAATACATGAAAAGGTGTTCAATCTCATTACAAATCAGGGAAACAGAATTAAAACCATATACCACTACATGTTCATCAGACTGGCTACAATTTTAAAATCTAAGACCAAGTATTGCTGTTAGCAAGGATATAATTTTTAGCATGTGTAGTTATATTTCAAAATTAATGAAGAAAAATTGGGGAGGGGGGGGAATCCTGAAAAGTCTAAGACTGTTACTCAAAGAGACTTAACCCATAGTTTAAAAACAGTAACAAGGATCTCTAAATTTCAATATACACGCAATCCCGGGGTTACAAATGAGATCCATTACTAAATGTGTCTCTACGAATCTGTAGGTAAGTCAGAACAGGTACGTACAGTTCTTATTTAGCCTTACTTTAGTGCAAGAAAAGGAAGAGCCCTGGTGGTGCAGCGGTTAAGTGCTCGGCTGCCAACCAAAAGGTCGGCAGTTCAAATCCACAGGCTGCTCCTTGAAAACCCTACAGGGCAGTTATATCCTGTTCAACGTGGTCGCTATGAGTCGGAATCGACTCGACGCCAATAGGTTTGGCTTTAGAGCAAGGAAAAGGTCTGAAGCCTTTTCAACGCTATAAAAGCTGCAGGTGCAGCAAGTGAAGGTGATTGTGAGGAATGTTTAGAGAAGCAGTTTGTTCAATTGTTTCAAAGTCAGGGCAAAGTTACATAACGTTAAAGGGCAAGTATGAGTTGTCCCTCAGTCGGACGTTAATAACCTGGGGACTTACTGCATACATACTGTATTCTAAACTGGATAAATAAACTTGGGGTTTTTAAATCTCTTACAGTGTTGTTTTTATTTCATTCAAATTTTTGAAAAAAGTAGATTTTTCAGACATCAAATTACTCAAGTTATGTAAATTCTAAAATTTTAAGACCAAACACCCAACTTATAATTTAGAAATATGAAGTAAGTGCCCAGTATTGCCTGGACAGTTGCAAAGTAGTTTTAGATTAGATAACACTGTGTAAAATAATACATCAAGATTTGGTAACTACAGTTTTTGAAAATATGATTAAATTCCTCAAACCTGTAACACACTAATTCCCACTGCTTAAGAAAAAGCATATACGGATGCATGCAAGATTAAATATCAAAGCCGTAAGCATAACATATTTTCATTGCTATATTCATATCAAGGCTTGATAACAAGGAACAAATTATGTTTGGCACATGAATTTAATTATTACAAACTAACTAATGAAACGCTGACTGACTCTAAAAGCTGTTGAAAAGACAAATTTAAAAATGAGTCATTAACAAAATATAATTTTTTTTATGTTCCTGTTTTAAAAGGTACGTTCATAATTTTAAAAAAGGACTGAAATTAATACTTTAGAGATC